TATTGATTTGTATTAAAAAAAACAACACTAGGTTATGGAAAATAATGATATTATTTTCCTAGGATAGCTTATGGAAATAACAGATAAGGCTGTTGAAAACGTTGACAACCCTAAATTTTAAATAATAAAACGGCCACTTGAGAACGGCCCTATAGATTGTCTAGTTAGGGGGATATTTACCACGCTTATGAATTAGGTTGCCGACCGCAGTTTTAATGAAGCTTTTTTATAGAATAGAATAGAATAATTTTTTATTTAATATAGATCACATGTGTAATTCTTATTGAAAGTCATTTTTTACTTTACCACTGGTTCGAAAAAAAACCTATGTCCTGGGAAGAACCAGCAAGAAACCCAGCAGGACTTTTTTTAAAAGCATATTTTACATTAATGGTTGGTACAAAATTTATTTTAGAAACAGCTTGGAAGCAACCACCTCATTCCCAGGGATTATCAACTATGTATTCATTTATACTATAAGAACCCTTTTTATACAGTTTCAACTAAACAAAACATTTAAACTTGGTGATAGAGAGAGCCTGTACTTTTATACACTTTCCGGGACCTTGTTGTAACAGCGTATACATTGCCCCAACAATGAATTACTGACTCTGTGGAGTCGATATAAAGATTATTTTGAGTTGTTATTGGAACGATGTAGCTGATCCCCGTGTTTCATTACCCTCTGACCCTCTTACCCACATGATATGGGGCTAGTGGATTCTCTTACCACTACACGGATTTTCGTTGATGCCTACATCAGTTGTTTTTTATGATAGTCTTCCATAACCACCCTTGCATGATATAAGCTAGTAAAAACATAGGTATATAATCCGTCGTTCTCAAGTGGCCGTTTTATTATTTAAAATTTAGGGTTGTCAACGTTTTCAACAGCCTTATCTTTTATTTCCATAACCTATCCTAGGAAAATAATATCATTATTTTCCATAACCTAGTGTTGTTTTTTTTAATACAAATCAATATCGTATAGTATTTTTTGTATTTACGCTAAATCCAGGTTGGTCCTAATTTAGCTTTCGGAATAGATTTTTCCCTTGTGTCATTTCATACCTGTTCTGAATGTATCCAATTGTATTCCTTATTTGCTGTTACAGCGTCTGGTTTTCATGATATTTGTATTAAGTACTTTGTGGCCTTGGCTTCGTTATTCATGGTTTATAACGTCGAATACTATGCACTATTCAATGAATATCCATAGGTTTACTGTACTAATTGAATTCCTCCGAACGCAAAATCCTCTTAAATTTACAATAAAAACCAATACTAAAACATTTTAAAGCGAGCGCACTAGTAAATTAAAGATAAGTCACGTTCAGCCACCTACAAAGAATTCAGCAACTTCGTTAAAACTTTAGATTACAGTCTAACCACTCCGAGGTTGGTGCAACGAACTTAAGGTTTAATGTTTAGAATTATTACAATTTCTGCGTATAGTACATTTACCGTTTAATTAAACGAGAATAATTTACTACATCGTTTCGAATTATTTTATGACTAGACGTAATTTAGGGGTGAGGTGCAAGTTATGTACGAATACGATAACTTTAAAATGAGTTAAAGATAAAGAAACAATTTTAGACCAATTTATGGAAAAAAACATGCGCGAGTGTCGTGGAACACTCGGTTGGAACGAAGTTCCTTTCGTAATATATTATTATTACTAAATGTATTATATTATTGATTAACAAATACAAATAAATGAATTATGTACTTGCTATTAAAATAAAGCGTCATTTAAGCAAAGTGGACTGTAATTTCGTTTGTCACTTCAATTAAAAAAAAAAGATAGCGCGTCCTATAATCAAACTTATTGATTCACTTTACAAATGTGAGACAGCGTAGCTTGTATTCACCTTGTGTTCATTCGCACTTGGACCCTTCTGACATTTGCAACAACAACGACGCTCAGGTGCACAGGCGCTGAAGGATAAGATAGAATACATTCTAGCACATAATTATGCTAACCATCTTTACTATTTACCTATCAGTGGAACCACAGCTGCTGAGCGGCGTTAATAAATACCTAAGATATTACCTACTTTAACCTAAACTAACTACACTACCCAAATAGATGAAATCCTAGACGAAAAAGGAGTCTAACCGCGCTAGTTAGATGTTATCATGTTACCTATTAAATATATTAAGTAGCACGACTACCTCATTGGTCTAGTGGTCGTAAACGTGGTTGCTTATCATGAGGTCTCGGATTCGAATTGCGGGTCGGGACAAAATCAGTTATTGTGTTCTTATATCCAGAACATCTCAATAGCAGGTTGAAGTCGGGAAGTTGGCAGTGTTTTACCAGCCGCACGTAAAGGCGTTGGTTCTGCACCTAATCTATCCGGTTGTGTCTGTTTGTCGTCCAATCGTACTAAGAGCAATGATATTATAAAAAAAGGATCCTTTATAATATCATTGACTAAGAGAGTGAGTGAGAGAGATCTATAATACTGTCCTGCGCAAATGGCTAGACTCCGCTGACCGAAATCGGTCTTGAATACATTATTATGTAATGTATTAATAGATAATAAGCAAGACGTGGCAATATATCGGTCACAGATACAAATAAATTTGAGGATGATTTTGATTTCAAAGAATAAATAATGAAACAATAATTACAAACAAACTCGTCGATTGCTTTGAGTTGAATTTCAAAGCGATCGTTGATGTTAGAGCATACAAATGTGTAGGTAAATAGGAATTTGCCGGTCGTAACTGTGAAGTAAACTAGCGAACAGGGTTAATACTTGATCGTAATTGCAACATATGGCTAATGAAACTAGTTTCCTACTGATTTTATTACGTAATTTGATTAACTTATTTTTATCAACCTATTTGGAAAACGAAGAGGTTTTATATATTATGACGCGTATATTTAACGATTTTAATGATTCCTTTTTTAATTAACTTTAACCTTACTTTAGGCGTGGTCTCGTGTAAATGTTAAGAATAACTTTCAACCTTTACCTATATACATATATACTTTAGGTAGTAACCTACCCTAAGTAGGTGATAAAGTTTTATAATGTTATATTTAGATGACATTCTAGTTGTTAAATTGAACTTTTACTATTCCTTTGTCCACTCAGAAGGGTAAAAAATTACGTTTATAAAAAAGAATGAAAGAATTTCCACAAATAATATTTTTTGATACACAATATCTTAGCGGCGACTTCAAAGGCTATTATGAGGGAATATTTCAATATCATAATTAGAAGTCGGTTTTCATCTTAAAAGTTTAATTGTATTCCCTACGTTGCTGGTACTTTACAGCAGCTTCTGTAGTCACGGAGTAAAAAAGTCTAGGCACTGAAAAGAAAAAAAAAATACACCAAGACAAATGTAACGAATCCAATTCAACAATTCAAAAGAAATTGACATAATATGTACATATATACTCTCGGATAACATTACCCGCCTTCTGGAGTAGTCGATTAAAAATGATACCATGATCACGCTTATATCGCATCACTAATATAAAAATACTTGGCGCTGATTAAAAAAGTGGCAACCCTAGCATCAAAATGCATGCTATAAAGCTACTGTTATTGCAACCTTGAGTTTACGTAATAGGTGCGATAGTTTCGCATAACTTATCGAAGGACGTGACCGCCACATACTCAATACACAATACGTAATTTACATATTCTTGTGTACTTATAGTCACCATTGGTTTAAAAATTACTAAACAGATATTGTTTATATAAAAATCGAGGACATGTGAAGCTACAGAAGAGGGCCATAAGAGCAATGTATGATTTAGAGTCGCTCGGACCAAAATATATATATACTATCTATTAACTTTATCTATATATTTGGTCGCTCAATGTATTAACGAAATTCTAATAGTAAGCAAAAATAAAAGCAGTTTAAAAAAAAGTGATATTCATTCTGTAAATACTAAGAACAGTACGTAATAATTCTATGAAGAACAGACACAAGCTAGTAGTACCAGTTACTCGACTCCACCGAGTCAATAATTCATTCTTGGGGCGATGAAGTACCATGTACGCTTTTAAGAGTAAAACAAAATCCCAAACACATACAATATTTTATTAAAAAAAAAACGTGATTAAACAAAATTTGTTTAAAAAAGGTTATCATCATATTAAGGAATTTATGGATGATAATAAACAAGCTCCGCTACCAAGCTACTGCTAACTTATTTTTGTGTAACATATGTGACTGTAAACTGTTTTCTTTTTAAAAAGGTGTCCCGCTGGTTTTCTTGCTCGTTCTTTCCAGGACAGAGGTATTTTCTGAACCAGTGGTAAATTAAACACGAGAGTGACTTTCAATATGTATTATTTATAATCTACTAGCTGATACCCGCTCGCTTCGCAGGGCGCACGATATTTTTTTTATTGCGGAACTCATTAATTATTGTTTTGTTGGGACTCTCGTAAAATCCGTTCATACTAAATTTTAAGTTAATCGGGTGTATAGTTTTAGAGATTTTGTGATATGTCAGTCAGTCAGTGGTGAATAAAAACGTTTTTGATTCTGTTTCAGTTTCCATAACCAACTCCCAGGACAGAAGGCGAGTGTCCATTGCCTGGTTTTTAGTTTAGACTTGCTGACTAAAATAATTGGAAAAGAACTAAAAGCTAATTAAAGTTTTACCTTATTTTTAAGTATCAAATATATTTCTCGAGGAGATTTATTTTTCAAAATAATCACCTGCCAGCTACAAAAATCTTTGCGCCCTTATTTTTCAACTTTACATTGTCATTTTACTTAAATTCCCCACTTTTCAGACTACTCTTAAAGTTAAAAAAATTAAAGTTACAACCTATATATTATAAGTCCCACTGCTGGCAAGGAAGTGTCCATCGCACTGCCCTAATAATGTTGGCGAAAATCATATTATGTTTTCAAATTTTTTATTCTTATTTCTCAGACATGCATGTTTCCTCAATATGTTTTCCTTCACCACCGAGCACGTGGTAAATAGACTACTTTTAATAGAAACTAATTACCTCAGTATTAAACTCCCTCCAAGGCGCCAACTGTCTCTCCGTCTCCCTCGAGGATACAAACAGAGCCACCCTCTGCGGCCGCAGCACACCAAGGAACCTGGGTAACGACGCTCCAAACACGATGACATCGTCCGAACTAGCACCAATCGCGTTACCTATTATCGCTTTTGACTCTGACCTGATAAAAAAAAATTAAAAATGATGATAACAGACCTAATTTGAAATAACAGTTAAGTACATAGTAATGTTATTAATCGGTAGTAAAGAAAAAAAAAGTTACAGCCTATGTACATCCAACAGCTCTAGTATAGTTGTAGCACGAATGGGTCGGCTCGACCGGGGAAGGACCACACTCTCACAGAATACCAGCGTAAAATAGCAGCTTAACACTGCTGTGTTTCGTATGGTGAGTGTAGAGAACCGGGGGCCCTTTTTACTGGAAACAAGGTATTTCATCTTAATCGTTACGGGTAACAACGCATTTCGATTAGCAATCGATGATAGATGTAGATGTCTATGGGCCACAGCAACCACTTACCATCAGCTGGACTGTGTGCTCGTTTGTCACCTTTATCCTATATAAAAGGTTATTACCGAACCTGAAAAGGCAACAAAAAAAAACCGAAAACTAACATGACTTTAAATAAGTATTCTAGTAATCTATATTGAATAAAAATAATTCTATTCTATTCTATTCCCATTACTAGGTATGGTATGGAACAATAAGTCCACCGCACTGTATGTTGGCGAATTTCGCATGTCTGTCCCTAAAATATTATATCTATATATTATATCCTCAGATATGCGCGCACGTGGTAAATCAGCACTTAAATTTACAATTAACAAATTATTTTGTGTCGACGGAAATAGAAACGAGGTTTCTTGCGTACTGTAAAATTACGGCGAGACCATAGCGTCTGAGCTACCACGGCTCTCACCACCTAATATATGATGGTATGCGTTGCGACACCACCGTACCGTTACTGTCTATAAAAGTCCACTCCTGAGTATAGGCCTCCTCCACAGATTGCCTCATAGGGGGTGGGGGGGTAAGCCAGTTGGCAACTGCAGTTATTTTTATTTTTAGCCGTTATTAGGAAGCCCATCTCCTGATTTGTTTCCGTCTGTCGCCACTTGGTCATGGAGTAGTGGATATTCTTACACCGCCACTACACGGTAATCAATCACCGCATGGTCAGTATTTAACGTAAGAATATACAGAAAAATCAATACCTATAAATTTCACTTTGCCCTGACGTGTAGGTGTGCGCGGTGCACCTCGCCGCATGCGTCGGCAACACATCCCGGACTATGTAATCCTCAATCCACTGCAGCGATCGCCCGGAGCCGTTGTAGTCGCAGTATACAACTGTTGAAGAAAAAAATTAATTAATGAGTTTACCTTTCCATCATAGCTTAAAAAAACCGGCAAATATAAAATAAGATAAAATTATCCTCATAATATAGGTTTCGTGATAAAAGTATAGTGGGCAACGGATGGGGTAAACTGTCTAGTTATGTACCAGAATTATTGAAATACACAACCCTGCGATTTAAAGCAGCATTAAATTTACGAGAGTTAGAACAATTAAAATAAAATAAAAATTAATATAATAAAAATAAAATAAAATCTAAATAAAATTTGAAAAAATAAATAAAAAGAGTATGTGTTCCAAGCACATTTTATGACATACTTAAGCACTATCATTACTTAAAGTATTAACTTAAAATTAAAAGTATTTTTTTCAGTAAGACATTATGAATTCAAATTAAAACCCAATATATTATTCACTTCATAATTTAATAGCATAAATTACAAAGTGAATAATATTATTATTATCAATTTTGTCCTTCAAAATAACTACAAAACGTAATCCAATCTTTTTAAAATCCAAACTCTAAGCCAAACAAAGCTTCTTTTGAAAGAAAAGCTTTCATTTAATTTAGTAAATCAAATTTGTGTTAAATCATTGCTTAAAGCAAAAACTAATTTTATTGTTTATATATTAACCTACAACAATACAAATAACAACCCAAGGATACTGACGGGTTTAGTCAGGGTTGTGAAATGTATAGAATAAAGCAATATCATATTTTTTTTATATAGAATAAGGGTAACAAACGAGCACACAGTCCACCTGATAGTAAGTGGTTGCTGTGACCCATAGACATCTACATTTATCTTCAATAAAGAATCAAAATGCAGATGCGTCGTTACCCGTGAGGACTAAGATGATATACCTCTTTTCCAGTAAAATGGGTCTCCGGTTCTCTGCACTCACCATACGAAACACAGCAGTGTCAAGCTGCCATTTTACGCTGGTATTCTGTGAGAGCGTGGTCCTTCCCTGGTGGAGGCGACCCATTCGTGCTACAACTATACTACTGATATAGCTGAAGCATGGCTCTACCACGAATATATTAATCCATCATTAAATTTTGACCCATGAGTGTCGTACGAAGCAACTATGGATAATGCCAATAAAATCTTATGGCTTCTTGGTTGGTTGTGTTGATTGTTACCTAAACGATTATAGTCTATCAAAAGTAGATTGCCTCTTAGAGGCATATTTCTCATAGTTACCACGATTGGCAGGCGGATTGGCAACCTCAGTTATACTTAAGTCATTTTTTTATAGAGATAGGGTGACAAACGAGCACATAGTCTACCTGATGGTAAGTGGTTGCTGTGGCCCATAGACATCTACATCTATCCTCATTTGCGAATCAAAATGCAGATGCATTGTCAGCTTTGAAGAATAAGATGGAATGCCTCTTTTCCAGCAAAAACTGTCTCCGGTTCTCTACACTCACGGTGTACAGTTATCGTTCCTCGGTCGAGGCGACCCATTCTTGCTACAACTGAATAGCCGCAGCATGACTCTACAACGTATAAAACAATTTAATGTAATAATTGTGTTCTGCCAGGACCTTACAAAGACCTCGGAACAAAGGAATACTACCATCGAAAATCACAAAAAGATCTTCTTGCCTCCTCCCTCTCTTTCACTTTGTTTCCACCTCTAATTGTTTGGAAAAAATATGGGTCGAATTTAATGACATGAGAAAAAATCAGTACTCTGAGATCTGAGAAGATACGCGAGATAGGAATCTGGCAATTCATTGGGTATATAATATATAAATTATGATAACCAACATAAGCCGGGACACTTGACAACCCTGTTTGAGTCAAAGACGATCGAGTTCGTCGAACTTTGATGCCAATGTCAGACAGGTTAGCTGTACACTGGACAAAAAAATGAACGGCCATCTGCCAAATCTCGATACTATCAGTATACGAGTACACTGGTCCGCATATCAATTATTGACTAAATTTCTAGGAGCGCTTGTAATATGCAAGTAACAAATGTTGGCACAGATATTGTAGTGTATTTTAGTTTTCTACCAGCGAAGGTGTGATAAATGATGTGTATATTAGAAATCTAATGCTTTGTAAAGCTAAAATGTAGAGCTGTCATTCGTGGGGATTTAATTGAATCATTTGAATCCAAGCCTTATTGATTTGGTTTGTTTGCATTTGGTTCTAGAATGGCAACCTCGTACCAGTAAGCGATGTGTAAGGCTGCCCCTTACTAGATTAAGTGATGTCCTAGTGATATAAAGGAATTCAGAAGTTGGATCGGGACAATGCTATGTGGTATTTATTAGAAGATGCTTATATTCAGTAGTTTACTTGTGAAGGACTGTTACGATGAAGGTAATGTTTTGTGGGCGTTTGATGAAAATATTAAAGTCTTTTTTTTATATGATAGGGTGACAAACGAGCACACAGTCCACCTGATGGTAAGTGGTTGCTGAGAACTATAGACATCTACATTTATTTTCGATCAAGAATCAAAATGCATAATATGCGTTGTCACCCGTGAGGACTAAGATGGAATGTCTCGTTTCCATCCGTTTCTGTTTCCGCTGGTATTCTGTGAGAACGGGCCCCGGGGAATATAGCACATTACTTGTATCCTGATCTCGATTTTATGATGATCTAAAGGATGTAACATTCATAACTTTCTTACTGATGCACCGTACTACATAGTAGAGGTAACGAAGCAAGTGGTAAAATTAAAAATTTTGTACAACCGTTTCAATATAATTTATTAAGGAAACTCAAAAACTATTAGTCAGACCTTGATCAAATTTATATGGGATCACATGAGGAGCACCAGCTATCAAATAAATAAAAAAAAGAATCATCAAAATCTATTTACCTACATATAAAAAATACAGTCGAATTGAGTACCTCCTCCTTTTTAAACTCAGTTAAAAAAGTACAATATTCTCTATCATCATTTTATGTTCTGACCAACAAAAGAATCCTTATCAAACTTTAAACTGAAACCTTTCCTAAGTAAGAATGGCTATTATCGTTCGTTTATTTAACTAAAATTTAACAGTACGTTAACAACGCGAGCGCAATCCCTGCCGGCACCAATTAGATCGTTGATTCCAACTTTAACTGCGGTTTTACCGCGTAATCAGCGGTGAAGAAAAACATCATGAGGAAATCTACATATCTGAGGAATAAATTTCGCGCACATATGATGTCCGACAACACGCACTGGAGCAACGCAGAATAATTGTTGCCCTCCCCTCTTAAAAATTAGAAGGGCTCTGTGAAAATTATAACACTCAAAACCTCATGGTGGTCACGGCGGACGGGCGCTCTCACCATAATCGCGAAGTAGGCAGACTCTGTAATTACTTCCTGACGAGATCGGATGCTCCATTCTACACGGACGTTATTTCGTGTGATAAATGGCTTACCCTTTTATGCTAAGCCAACGAGCAATGGCAGTACAAAGCATTTCCGAACGGGAGAACGTATGGAAGGAGAACACAAGCCTTCCAAATAATACATTTATAAACTTATGACTCTGAACTGGCAAATAGAAGAGAAACGAGGAAGTTGGCAACATTCGCGAAAATAAATTAGATAAAATACAAAAACTTCTGGCAAAATATGTCGGACGGCGAAATTTAATAGAACTCTGGAATATTTAGGTTCGCTCTATAAAACTACTACATACTTTTGTTTGAAATATTACAAGATATTTTTGTTTTACTAATTGAATTACATTCATCATTTTGTGTTGTATAAAAATTACGTTGAAAATTCGTGGCGTAAGAGTCCACTACTCCTTATTATTCATCCCGTGGGTTCCGTAGGAGGGGACATCGAAAATTAAAAAAGAAGATGGGTAGCAGAATTTCCGGCGGGGATCGAACCCGGGTTGCTCGCGTACTGTGAAATTTAAAGCGAACGCTAAGCCCCTGAGTTACCACGGCTTACACTTAAATATCCGTAGTTAATTAATTATTAATCAAGTGAAAATAAAATATCATTTTTCGGGTAACTCAAGGATACTTCCTCAGATAAAATAGCAATTATCAATATCAATGCCAGTTAACGTTGGGATAACAGAGGTACGATAGGGCGTGACCCGTGTCGGCCATATTCAATTACAAAGTTAAAAGATAAAACGGCGAACCACACAGTGAATTAGCGGCGAATTGTTATGCAAAACAAATGTCCATTTGTTGATAACGAACTGTAAACTATTATCCCTCTATTATTTTAATTATTTGCACAAAAGATAGGAGATTTTAATTTTATACCACTATGACAAACAAGCTTACAGTCCAACTAAGAGCATATAATCACTTGTAGTACACCTGATTATAAGAAGATGCTACGGTCTAAATACACGTTTATTTATTATTATTAATTATTAACAAGCTGGTACCCGGCACGTTGCTGCCACAGAATAAATAATTGTGAAAATATCGTTTTTAATTTGGAATAGTTACATTGTTTAATTAGAATGATAATACCATTGAAGTTGAACGATATATATAACAATTAAATAAATTTGTCGGTACGATACGTGTGCCGCCTACCGTAAGTTAATTGTACTATGCCTATAACCGTCGCGCAAGTGCAAGCAGTAAGTTGACAAAGATTTACCTTAATCTGATGATTTTTTTTATATATTAGATTACTTAGGAATCAAAACTCAGATGTTACAAATAAAATCAGTTTGCGGTTTGTCAGTCACCATACGAAACACCGCAGTATCATACTGTTATTTTACGGTAGCATTTTATGTGCAGTATGAACGGTGTATTTACTGTTGTACATTAATGTTAAACGCTTTTATTAATTACATTGGAAGCGTGTAAAACCACTCTACTACAACTCCTTCGGAGTAAAGGTAAACTAGATGCACTCTTACTTAAGAAATAGATTCCTATCACGGCGGCCATTCTCAACTGAGACTAGCCATCGGCGCAGGACAGGATTATAGTGAACCAGTGTATGCGCAAGCACGGGTGCACTCTCTATTCCTTCAT